CATTTTTTCGCAGAGGGGAGCACATTCCTCGGGGAAAAAAATATGTACCTTATGCGCCAGAGTCAGGCGCACAAGTTCTTCTTTTGGACCATATGTGAATCCTGGGTGTGGAAAAAGTTATAAGCACTCAAAGTGAGCTCCCTGCAAAAGCCAAATCTCTGAGCTTATGGAGCATACACATTTGGTGTAAGTCCCTTGCTTGACGCCTCGCGAGGATGCGCGAGTGTGGGACTTTGTTAAGTTTAATGTATACAGTCAACTCCCTCCAAACCCATACCATTCTATGGAAGCATAAAACTATGGGTTTTATGGGTGTATGGTTTTGGAGGATCTCCCTCATAACCCATAGATTAAGGTTTGGCAGGCAAAGTATGGGTGAAGAGGGAGATAGAAAAATTAACAAGCCAATCAAAAAAATCATTTCTTCATATTCAACTTGGAATAGATTGCAGCAAAGTGGCACACAGTCTTAGATGATTGCAACCATTCCGTTTGTACTTGTATTAACAAACCAAAAGTTCAAGTCTCTTCAGCTCATCATTGTTGAGTTGACTGGCAGCCTTAGCCGCATTTTATTATGCTATGATCTTCCCCAAAACAACTCTTTACCTTTCCAGCACAGTCTATGAGCCTTGTATCTGTCTACAACAATTTCTTCCCTCCACTGATTGGTTGCTTGAGAGGCTTGAATCTTTTGTTATTCTCTGTTTGTAGGGCATTGAAACCTGTTTTGATATCTGACATGCTGAATTGCAAAAGGTCTTTTGGAAGCATTTTGAGACTGGCTATGCTGAAAAATACACAAGGATGCAGGTTTTTTTCAAGCTGTGGCAAATTTTGGTTGTGGCTTTTGACCTAGGTTTACCGCAAAAAACCTATGGGTCATAGGAATAGTGCAAGGTATGGGTTTTGGGCCACTTTTCCCTGCCCATAAATTTTATGGACCCAAATTTCTATGGGTTAGCTGGAAGTATGGGATTAGAGGGATATGGATTTTGAGGGAGTCGACTGTATGACAATAATAAACTCATCAAAGTCCCACGCCGCGTCTCGCACGCTTTGAGCGCAGCAAGGGACTTACAACAACAAAGCACACTTTGGCCTGTGAGGTTTCTGCAATTTGGCTGGTAGAATCTTTGCTCCTTATAAACCTTTTTCTCCCATTTGTGAAAAATCATGGCCAAAGAGACTTTTTCTTCGCCTTGCTGAGGCGGTTCAAACTATCAAATAAAAATCTGAGGAACTCGACTCCTCCTTGCTCTAGAGGCTCCCAAAGCTTGATGATTTTGACGAAATACAACTGTAGTGTCCTGTAACATTTACATACGATTGCTGCGAGGGAACACACTCCAGTTTTATCCCAACTAGAAGCTAAGAACATAAGGTCCCTATTTAAAAGTTGTCATTTGATGCGATCAAGACCAAAGTTTTGATGGGTAACTTACCTGCCTTCATTTCATTCCACATCAATCAACAGGATTACATATGTGCTAATGTGGGCTTCAGACATGTGCGAGCCAGTGGTTCTTTAACAAAAAGCAACACTTTTTATCAACATTGTTTCTGTTGAAAGTGAGTAAATGTGGGCTTCAGATACGTGTGAGCCTGTGGTTCTTAAATGAAAACAAGAATTTTTATCATTTTGTTGAGGGTGTTGATATGTATATGGTACCACCAAAGAAATTTGAGGTAGTGCTATTGCTCAGGACATAAAAAATACAAGTTTAATCAAATGTTTTGTCCCCGCAGTCGTGCTACATGTTGCTAGAGCTACAATGCAAATAACAAAAACCTGCGGAGCCTCTAGAGCAAGGAGGAGTCGAGTTCCTCGGATTTTTATTTGATAGTTCGAACCGCCTCAGCGAAGCAAAGAAAAAGTCTTTTTGGCCAAGATTTTTCACAAATGGGAGAAAAAGGTTTATAAGGAGCAAAGATTCTACCAGCCAAATTCTAGAAACCTCACAGGCCAAAGTGTGCTTCGTTGTCGTAAGTCCCTCGCTGTGCTCGAATCGTGCGAGACGCGGCGTGGGACTTTGATGAGTTTATGACAATAAGCAGATCTGTGTATGGCAAATATCTTGTTATCACACACATATCATTTTTCCCTCGCTTTGTCTCTCACTCCTTCTTCCCATCAACTGACTGCATTCCAGATCAAAAGTCTACTTGTGATGAATATACTTTCATTTCCAGTGCCATATCACATCGGCCAATGCTACACATTGGCAGAGAAATGTATGCTGATTCAAGTCACAGTCATTTGAATAGTTTAGATGAGTTGGATACTGATAACCAGAAATGTTTGGTTTCTATGTAGCATGAATCACATGAAGGTGGTCCAGATGACAGCCACTGTGTGCTTTGTTGCAAAAGGCAGAGGTAAAAATAAACAATTACAAATTTGAACACTACATGCAGTATCACAATGGTGGCACTGGTGGATCACTGCAGCATATATGGGTCAAAGAAGGAGAAACATGTAGCATTTATTCAGTCTTGAAGAATGATTCTGGGGCAAGACTTATTATAAAATAGAAATGCATCAAGTGTCTGAGACTGCAGGCAAGCCATCTGGAAAATACTCATGCTTCAATGAGACCACTGCACATCATATGGTGATGATATGATAAAATCCACACTGTTGGTTACTTCACACCTGTTTTTCCCCCACTTGAAACCTATGTGGCCACTGAAAAATCCTATTTCCATCAGTTTTCCATATGCCAATGGAAATTTGTACAGAGCATTGGAACTACCACATACCTCTACCAATATAGTATCACAAACTCTCTAGAAGTAAGAAAGAAGAAGCATGTACAAGATTCAAGTATATTGATATTTCTGGTGTGATGTGTGCACCTACACATACTATTTGATGGACAAACATGGTCAGATCCTAAGGGATCCCAAATTGACCTTCAAGGCACACTCTTTGTTTGTCCTCATATGATCTCTTGACACACACTGTGTACAATTCCCGGTAGCACGTCAATGTGTACACACAAAGGAACTTGAAACAACAAACAAAGAAAGGTTTCTGTAGTTTTGTTGAATTTCAGTGACAATCTCAGCACCCCTTTGTTGACCTTGCTTTCTGAGCACCTGGACAAAGGGAATGGGTCTTTGGATTCAAAGACCTCTTCAAAGCATCTATCATCCCTTTATGAATTGTTTTTGGTGTGTGCATGTTGACATGCTACCAGAAAGCTTACACAGTGACAGGGGTAGATATGGCTTCAGCTGGGCCATATTACATTCATGGTTGTTAACTAACTTTCACAACTTTGAAATTGTATCAGATGATGAATCACTAGATTACTCCATTGGTCACTTCTTGTGCTGCAAGGATTTCAGCTCCACAAAAGAAGAACCTAAAGTCACTCATATTCCAACATTTCATTATCTCTACTCCCAGAACGTTGGAATCCAAGTCATCTGAAAGGGTGAATAGTATCACCCAAACCACTATAATAGAATATGATTATGTGGCATATGTCAGCCTGAGACTTAAAACAGGTGGCTTGAAGAGAATCAAAGCTGAATACTTGTGCGCTTAAAGCGTCTTTATTGGCTTTGTTACAGTATCTTACTGAAGTAAATTCAAGCCTTCATAAGTAGGAGCTGGCGACTCCATGTTGTCTTAGGTGTGGGATGGCTACCGCTGCCTGATACTCGCTGAAAGGTCTGTTCCAATCAGGGTCTTCTGAGGTAGGCACAAGAGTACTCCTGTCTCAGGTATATGTAGTCTAGTTCCTATGTATTAATAAAGAGACATCTTTATCAATAATGATCTTCAATAACATTTTGGACGATAAGATGAAGTAGATGTTGGGATCTTTAGTTCGATAACAACATTTTTTAGTGAAAAGATACACAATAAAAGTTATAAAAAACGGTAAGAGTCAAATAACAAAGATAGGATCCATAAAGTGGATACTAAATTGGATACAATCTAAGTTAAAAGTATGAGCTGGTTTTTTAGTAAAAAGTTATAGAGTTTGATTTCTAAAAGTAAAGTTGTTGGTTTGTAAAAGGTTGTTCTTTTCTTGAGATGCAGAAGACCACTGCTTATATATCATGTGCATTTCTCCTTGTGATGTCATCGTAACACAGGGTTTGTTGCACATGTTTGATGGTCTTTTGTAACCAATGTGATGTTACTTGTTTCTGATCCCTTACTCACATTCTTGTAATTTAACAAGGCTTAAGGAAATGTATACCCTTCTTTAAGATCAGGGTCTTCTAAAGGTCGAGTATGTCATCATGATACCTTTCAAGCTGATGTACATATGTATTGATATCATAACCCGTGTAAACCATTGTTATCTGGAAGCCTTCTTGGATAATCTTTATTACTGCCAATGGGAGTATCACCAAATACTCCTCATGGCTGACAGCATATCTGTCACAGCACAGTTTGAAACCTCAGTTGGTTAATCCTTTATGAGTTGCTGTGGAACATGATGTCATTTTCATTCATTCAATGAAATGACATCAACACTGATTGATGTGTTGCTTTTGATGAGTTCACCGATCATGATGATGTTTGTTGGTCAGGCTTTATGATAGGGCTAATTGAGTTCAACTATAACCAAGGCAAGACAATAAGTTGCTGTGGAAGTCATTTTCATAGATCCAACAAAATGACATCAATGTGGATTGATGTGTTGCTTTTGATGAGTCCCACAATCATGATGATTGTGGGTCATCAGGCTTTACAATTGGGCTTTATGATTGTTCTGAACTGTGATCAAGGCAAGACAGTAGGGTGGAAGTCATTTTCATAGATTCCATGAATTGACATCAACGTGGATTGATGAGTTGCCTTGATGAGTTCATTGATCATTATGATTGTGGGTCAGGCTTTATGATGAAATACATTCTGTATTAACAAGTGTAGAGCATGATAAAAAGAATGTTGGATTGGTTGAACAAGTGTTTACATACATAAAATACAAGATTTAACGAGTGTATAGAAGATCATGAACAAAAGGATTGGATTAAAACTAAAGCAAAATCGAACAAGTGAGTGTACAGAGGGCCAGTGAAAAAAACGAGAGAGAAAAACATAAAGAGACAAGAGAAAATCAGCAAAGGGCCAGTGAAAAAAACAAGAGAGAAAAACATATGAGAGAAGACAAAAAATAGTATAAAACAAATGAGACAGTAAGGGCAAGGAAAAAAAGAGACAAGAGGAAATCAAACGAGACAAGAACGAGAGGAAATTAAGAAGAGACTATTGTTGCTGAGATGGATCACTCCTCTGCTTTGGCTGAGCCAAACCACTCATCTCTAAAAGTAGTCCTACATCAGCCACCGACTTTCCTTCAGCTAACCATTTATTCATCTGCTCAACACGCTTATCTTGATTTCTTTCCTCTTTTTCATGAAGAAACTTTTATTTGTCCCAAGCAAGCTGTGAGGACCGCTGGAGTTCTTGCCAATTCTGCTTCTTCTCTTCTTGCTCTTTCTTCTCTTTATCAAGGGCCATCTCCCGCAACATCCGATAGTCCTCATTCATCAACCTTTTTGATTCATTTTGTAACATACACTCTTCTATATCAAGCTCCCTTTTGTTAGTAGCTTCGTACATTCGGGCCTTTGACTGGCTGATAGCCAAGAGAGCCTGTGCCAAAGGGTTCTTTGACTCTTTAGCGGATGCGGCAATTGGCGGTAGAGGGGTTGTGGAATTTTTCAGCAGACTCTTGAGTTGGTTGATTTGAAGGTGGAGGACTGGTTTTAATCAAGGAGGAGTGTCCTTGATGGGGCGAGTTGCGCGGATTGTGAGTGGGATCTTGAGAGGGCAGCCAAAGAAGTTGGTTGGAAGATGGCAAGATGTTGGGGATGTTATCGTTATCCCAAGTACTGGGATCTTCTAGAAAACTCTCCAAGTTTTCAACACTCGACTGAAGTGGCTGAAAGACCCCATCAAGATCGAGATTTAGCTCTAGATGACAAAAAAAATCACAAAGTCAGATCAGACCAGGATTAATTGATTTACCTACCCTAGATAACAAGATATTCAACTGACCTGGAGTTTGGTCCGCTGCTAATTGGTCATGACCTCCTTCCAATAAGTTGGCTAACGAAGAAGTGTGACTTGGGGGAATCGGAAGAACTTTGATGTGAATAAAGATAAATAAATGAGTTTTTGAGAGGAAGATTGTTGATTGAATTGATCAACTCACCTGGCTACTTGTCTTTCGACTCATACATGAAACAAACAGAGTGTGAGTCTGATTCAGGGTCTGAATCGGAGTTACAATCATCATCCATTTCAACATCCATTAGACAGCTGTCCATCGTATCCATCGCAGTGATGTTTGCTTTTTCCGAAAATAGCGCATCCATCTCTGCAAAACAAGCACAACTATTCTCGTCTTTGACAGCGTTTAAGTTGACACCATTGGCTCGGTCTTGATCGGTTACACCTGAGCCGGTGGAATTCATGCCGCGCTTTGCAGCAACATACATACGGCAGAATCTGCCAAAGCGTAGCCAAAGATCGCTTCCACAAAGACCCATAAGGTTTGATTTTGTGCGCTGATTGTAAAGTGAGTTGATATGAGTTGCAAAAACGTCCCAAGTCCCAGCAGAACCCAATGATTGACCCTTGACCGCTGTTTTCTTTCCAGCTCCAAATAAGACATTGTAATTGTTAGGGTTTGAGAGATACTCGATTATATTCAAATAATCCTGTCTTTCTAAAGGTGGACCATGCCATTTTGACAACTTGGCCTGAGATGGAGCCTTTGCCTGAGATGAAGCCTTTGCCCAAGATGGGGCCTTTGCCCGAGATAGGGCCTTCTGTTTGATAGGTAATTGACTTGACAGGAGCTCGATCGAGGGGCTGGACAACGTGATTGGGCAAAATTGTTGCTGATGAGGAGAGTTCAGATGGCCGCTCTGTTTGATAAGTGATTGATTTGACAGGAGCTCAATCGAGGGGCTGGACAACATGATCGGGCAAATTTGTTGCTGATGAGGAGAGTTCAGATGAAAAGTAGTTGGAGGAGGTTGGCTAGAAGTACTCGGAGGAAGTTGACTGAAGTTACTTGGATATGGATGGCTGAAAGTTTGTTGAGAACCATTGTGAGACAAAGGGCTACCGGTGGGAGGAGTTGGTCCACACTGACAGACAGGCTGATTGTGAGACAAAGGGCTACCGGTGTGAATCAGGGCATGTTGATGGCAAGGCTGATTGTGAGACAAAGGGCTACCGGTGTGAAGCGGGGCATGTTGAGGAGTGGGTAACTGATTGTGAGTGATAGGAGGCGTATATCTGGTGAATGTATAGGTTGGATGGTGGTAAGTGCTGGTCTGATGATTGTTCTGCTGAGTATTGTTGTAAGGAGGGAAAGATTGAGGATGTAAATGTGGGTTTGCTTGAGAGCTTTGCATAGTGAGCGTGGGTTGGGTGGAATCAATGTGGGCTGGATAGTTGACAAAGCAATATGAGGAATGAGATGGAAGATAATCGAGATGAGGAGCAAGGAAATGGTAATGAATTACGCCAAGTTACATATATGTTTACTACCAACATACATTAAGTCTCACCAGAGATCATGGTAGTTTACCGGAGGAGGCACAACAGAGGTGGGCGGTGTCCACGTGTACGGATAACACATCCTACATGTGCCTCGCCAATAACAACACCATCTGTATCATGACATAGTCATAACCAAGGGTTTTTCGAATTTGACCAGGCTGGTCAAATGTGTAAGTGAAATAATCATTACCCTTCTAAGGGTTCACCTTGAACTGGTCAAAAACAGCATACCTTGGTTACAGACCAAGATGATAGTGAAGTTATTAAGGAGGCCACGGATGAGATCAAGAAATTACTTTCCCTCATCCGTTTTCCTCCCGTTATCTTTGTTATCCAACTTCAATTATTGAAAAATCAGCTTCAAGCAATATCATAAATTTCAGCTCCAAAATTGCCTTTCGACAATTTAAGAAATAGTGATATAGATTTATCGAATTATTACTTAAAAAGAAAGAAAGCGTTCCCATTGTGCGTGTGTATAGTGTAAAAAGAAGCGTATCCATTTTTTCCCCGTCGTTTATTATCAAAAACCTTTTTCCTCTGCATTTTGTCAATTTTTTGTCCTCATGTCCTTTTTTCGTCGAATATTCCTCCATCTGTCATC